CTCTCTCTCTCTCTCTCTCTCTCTCTCTCTCTCTCTCTCTCTCTCTCTCTCTCTCTCTCTCTCTCTCTCTCTCTCAACCGTTTCTGCGCCTAAAATAGTTTTCTATTACCGTTTATGTAAAAATATTTCACATTTCTAACGCAATATCAGATTATTATAATGAAAACGTTTTGTTATATAAAATGTTATTAATAATACTGTTTTATTCATAGTATTAATCTTGCAATAAATTGTATTTTAATTAATAATTATTAATAATTTATTTAAAATAGTATTTAAAATTATTTTTTAAATTGTTAAATTTTTGTATAAAGTAGTAATTGAAAAAGGTTTGCATCTATTTAAGTTTTTTAAATATTTACGTTAGAAGCTATGATGTAAAACATTATTTTATAACGTTATTCACATATTGGATATCAATAAATGATTATTATTATTATAAAAATTTTATTGAATACTTTTTTATAGTTTAATAATGAAATTATTGGATTATTATTGAAACAATCACTTCATTTTATCCCAAGATATCGCACAACAAATGAAACGCTTTGAGTGAATAAAACAAATACAGTATAATTAATTACGAGATCTCAGAGACTTTGTTTACCATTGGCTAAAAATGCAAACAATCGCACAAAAAAAGTTTAATTGTAAAATTTTCAAAATATTTTCAAAACTCTTCTCTAAATGCAAAGTCTATAATCCAAACAATAATGCAATAAATAACACGTTTTAAGAACATAACATTGTTATTGTTATGTCTAAAGTAAAGCAATACAATACTAACATAACATCAGACGAGAGAATATGATATATTTTTTAGTGAATCGACAAAACAATTATCAAATGAATGTATAATTTGTTTTCAATAATTTATTACCAAAATCCTGTTCTCACACTCTTTTACAAGTGTTAGCAAAAGCTGTGAATTCACAATCTGTTTGAATGTCTGATTTTTAAGCCTATGTTTAGCCAATTGTGTGATTCAACCAATAGTTTTGCATTTTCAACGCAAACCGGTATTCAGTTTCAACCCTTCTCTGCATATTCTGTATTAAATCCAATCGCATCTCATATTTTCATTGCATTCAAAGTCCTACAGTATTTAATAAATTGTTTTTTAAAGTTTTTACTCAATTCAATTCAAAATACTTTTACAAGTTTTGTCACTTATTTCATAACAGTGTTTGTAGTGAAGAGAAGTGTTGAACAATTTATTATAAAAATTGCATCTAAATATCTACCAAACTAAATGTATGTATTATATAATTGCATGTCATTCTAATCGCATATATTTTTTTATATTATTAATCATTTATTCAATTAATTATATATATTATACATAATTATGAGTTAAATTAAATATTCACAGCAATTATGGTTAATAAAGCGAATAATGGAAATACAATGAAGAGAGCGCTAATACAAGCGTCTAAGAAACGGGTGTACATCTCGTTTCCGGCGCCAAAACCCGATTCACAGCCCGATGTTTATAACCAAACGGAAGTAATACGTGTACCAGATTCACAAAATTACCTTCTTGTTCACTTTGAAGCAACTGCTGAATGTGTGCCTTTGTCTGAATATCTCAAACAAACAACTGACCAGGGTACTAATTATAGCTATTTTGCAAAACAAGATAAAACATATTAATTGATGTCCGCAACCTAGCAACATTCACTAAAACATTATTGTTAAACACTTACTATTTTAATCAATTTAAAAGTGTTAGTTTGTATGCAAATTAATAATTAGTTTATAAGAATTAACTTTGTATTAACCATTAAATTGTATTCAGAAATTTTTTTTATTCATAACACAGTTATTGTTAACTAAAATACAAATAATTGATTAATATATTAATATGTAGTTGAAATAAATTAATAAATTCCAAATTAAATTTTTTACTTTTATTAAAAAGTGTTCAAACATTAATTATGAAAATATTTTTATTAAAAGGCATGAAATCTAAAAGGATATATAAAATACATTAATTGTGTAATTGTGAAATCATCGAAATTTTTGTAAAAATTACAATTTTTACTTTACAATATTTTTTTAGTGTTAGAATACAGAATCTTTTACTTTTAAAATTTTGTATTTAATAGTTGTAATTTTATGCTTAAAAAGTAATAAACCTTTTACCGTATTTAAGTGTGAATAACAAAAGTGCGAAGATTATTTTTAAAATGTGCACTTTAAAACTAATTTAATATTTGCGCTCAAGTATTTATAATAATTACGATAAAACTAATCATGGGCAATAATTAAATTAATTTTTATCAATGGATGTGTCAATCAAACAACTACTCAAATCGTAATTAGGCGGGGTTTGGTCTACAGTACAGGTGAAGTAATTAGAGACAAAGTGAACGATAAGTATTAATAAAATGTCATTCAATAGTTAATGCGTTAATACAAACCCCTGTTGTTTAGGATTGAGCTGTGGATTAGGATTAGGTCCGACACCGCCAACGACCGGACCGAACTGATGAACGACTCCGGGGGGCAAATTAATGGTCAGATTACTGGATCCTGGATTAAAGGGCAAAGCAAAGCCTTGTGGAGCGCTAGACAATGGATCTATTGATAGAATTAAGTGTTAAATTGCTAACCAAATACAATATGGCGGGTTTGCACAGTACCTAAATTAGTACTTTTAACCTCAGAGCTGAAACCGACCCGCACTCGTGGATCGGGTCGTAGGGCAGACATAAAGCCGCTGAAACTCGGTCCAGAGCCCGATATGAATGAGATGCTGGGCATCGGCTTACCGTATGCCACGGATTGGTCGCGAGCGGAATATTCAATGGTTTGCGCCATTGAGTCGACAAATAGCGGTTCAAATAGTTGTTTATCTAATATTTGCAAAATATTGTCAACACTTTGCGAAACAAATGCATTCTTATATGTCTTGAAGTCTTCGGCGATGTATTCATTGGTCTGAAGAGTGAGCGACGATCCGCTGCTTTCGGCCGATACTATCTGTGGGTTAAATAGAAGGCAATTAGAAATTAGTTAATGAAATATTGATTGACAGCATATGTCATACCAAAGCCGATGCGATCAATATGTCCGACACTTTAACCGCTTTGATTGAAAGGTTTTGTTTAGTTTTTGGGTAAATATATCTCAAGCCATACGTGTCTTGGGATGCGTTCCACCCGTTGGGTAGCATTTCAGAGCCGACACCCGACTCGTCCGTTTCGGTCAACTGTTTGGACTCAATATATACATAAATGAAGACTATTAGAGATAAAGGGAAGGGATTGGGAATGGGATTACACTTACAGTCCCGCCGACGCCCTCAAAGACAAACCCTCGCCGAAGACATTGAAAGTGGAGACAAACGACAAGCAAATCGTTTCTTGACTTCAAGTCGTTGTGATATAATTGATGCCAAATCTCGAAACCGACGACCATTTTCTTCGACAATAGTTGTGAACACTTTGAGTCAAATCAATACAATTAACAATCAATTTGTGTATTATTTTTAAAAATATTTTAATAAACATTAGTAAACATTTCCATTACAAAAGTCTTTGAATGAGAATGAGATGAGAAGTTCTATATAATTATTACAATAGATGTTTAATAAAGGTTTATTACTGAATAACTTAAAACTACTAATTTCAGTTTTAAATATATTTAATATTTAAATATAAATTTATAATTTAAAAATAAATAAATATTTAAACTAGCGTAAGATTTTGAATTTATTAAACTGAATTTTACATTTAATTTACTTGAATTTTACTTACAGTTAGAGACAAACACACAGTATATGAGAGTTAAAAGTTTTTAAAACCAATCTTATAGACGTTTTGTGCTTCAGTGAAATTCTGAGACTACTCTCTCGCCCTTTTATTCAACTCTCTCTCTCTCTTCATTTTTGTGCCTAAAATATTTTAAACCCTTTTTTATTACTCTTTGTGTAAAACTATTTCCCATTTCTAACGCAATGCTTACGTTTGGTTACATCACAAACAGAGAACAAGACAACAGAATATGAAATTCCAGTGAATCGGCGAACAAACAAATATCAAATGAACGTATAATTTGTTTTCAATAATTTATTACCAAAATTCAATTCTCACACTCTTTGACAAGTGTTAGCAAAGGCTGTGAAATCACAATATGTGTGAATGTCTGTGATTTTTAAGTCTATGTTTAGCCAATTATTTGATCCAACCAATAGTTTTGCATTTTCCACATAAACCGGTATTCAGTTTTAACGGTTCTCTGTATATTCTGTATTAAATCCAATCGCATCTCATATTTTCATTGCATTCAAAGTCCTATTTAACAAATTGTTTTTTAAAGTTTTTACTCAATTCATTTAAACGCTTTTGACAACAAGTTTTATAAATTACTTAAAATATTTTATAAGAGTGTTTGCAGTGAAGAGAAGTGTCGAACAATTTATCATAAGAATTGCATCTAAATATCTACTAAACTAGAAATGTATGTATAATTGCATGTCATTCTAATTGCATATATTTTCATATTATTTATCATTTTATTTAATTAATTATATATATTAAACATGTTTAAATGTTGACAGCAATGATGGTTAATAAAGCGAATAATGCAAATACAATGAAGAGAGCGCTAATACAAGCGGCTAAGAATCGGGTCTACATCTCGTTTCCGGCGCCAAATGCCGATTCACAACAGCCCGACGTTTATAACCAAACGGAAGTAATACGTGAACCGGATTCACAAAATTACCTTCTTGTTCACTTGGAAGCAATTGTTGAACGTGTACCTTTGTCTGAATATCTCAAACAAACAACTGACCAGGGTATTAATTATAGCTATGGTGCGAAACAGGATTAAAAATACTGATTGATGTTCTCAACCAAGCAACATTCCCTATAACATTATTGTGAAACACTTATTATTTAACGTCTTAGTTAGTATGCAAACTAATAATTGGTTTATATTATAAACTATTATAAACTTTATAATAATTTCCTTTGTATTAACTATTAAATTGTATTCACAAATTCTATTTTATTTATAACACAGTTATTGTTAACTAAAATACAACTAATTGATGAGTTTATTAATATGTAATTCAATATATCTGTAAATAAATTCCAAATTAAATTTTTTACTTTTATTAAAATTTTTGCAATTATTAATGTCTTGAAGAGTGTTGTGGACATTACTCTTAGCGACCGATTTATTAAATTACTGAATGCGAATAGAATTGAGAATAAATTGTTGGATACGTTACCACAAAAGTCTTATGAATTAATTCATTAATTATGAAAATATTTTTATTAAAAGGCATTAAATTTAGAAAAAATATATTACATAATTGTGCGATTTATCATTTAAAAAATTTGAAATCGTCGAAATATTTGTAAACATTTTCAATACAGAAGTCTTTCATAAGTATTGAAAGATTATTTTGGGAATTACTCTGAAACAGTTAAAGTGATAATATTGTCATTTTTATATTTATAAATTTCTCAGGAAATAGAATTTATGAAAATTTCTATATAATTATTACAATACATGTTTAATGAAGGTTTATTACTGAATAACTTAAAACTACTAATTCCATTTTTAAACATATTTAAAATTTAAATATAGGTTAAGGTTTTGAATTTATTAAACTGAATTTTACATTCAATTTACCTGAATTTGACTTACAGTTAGAAACAAACACACAGTATATGAGAGTTAAAGTTTTTAAGACCAATCTTATGAACGTTTTATGTTTTAGTGAAATTCTGAAACTCGCCTTTTTATTCAACTCTCTCTCTCTCTCTTTCTCTCTCTCTTCATTTTTGTGCCTAAAATATTTTAAACCNCAACTCTCTCTCTCTCTCTCTCTCTCTCTCTCTCTCCATTTTGTGCCTAAAATAGTTAAACCCTTTTTTATTACTTTTTGTGTAAAACTGTTTCACATTTCATACGCAATGCTTACGTTTGGTTACATAACATAAGTTGAAGTGAGAGTAGAGAACTCATTGTTCGAGTCTTTGCTTACAATTTCTTAAAAATACATCCAATTTAAAAGTGTTTAATTATATAGTTTTGTACATTTTTTAAATTGTCTGGTCTAAAAGCAAATGTCTATAATCCAAACAATAATGCAATAAATAACATGTTTTGAGAGTTAATTATTATGTCTAAAGCAAAGCAATTCTTTGCCCAAACAGAGAACAAGACAACAGAATATGAGATTCCAGTGAATCGACAAAACAAACATCAAATGAACGTATAATTTGTTTTCAATAATTTATTACCAAAATCCTGTTCTCACACTCTATTGACAATTCTGTGACACGAATGCAATGTTTGAATATTATATTCTGGGCTTGAATTGATTGCATAAACAATTAGTTTGCAAATGTTTTATTTATCAAACACTTGAATTTGAACCCAATTTTAGGCCAATACATAATTATTTGTGATTATTGGCTAAATTTATATATTTTGCATAATTAAACTATTTAAAGTTTTTATACACAATTTTGCAAAATACTTTAAACAAAATTAAACTAGTTTTTACTTTTGAAAATAATAAATTATAAGTAATCAAAATAAATTATCGCCGATAATAATTAGATGATAAATTAAATGCAAAATCAAATTATTTATAAAAAGTTCAATATTTATTTCTGATTTAATTTTACCGTACATTTCACTCAATAATAATAATCAGATTTACAATAATATTAATAATGTATTAATGAATTGAAAATATAATCAACAGAAACGGTATTGAAATGAATTGATATTGATTTTGTAGTGTATATATTTTACAAATTATTCATATTATATAAAAACGTATGAATAAATTTATAAGAAATACAATAAACCATATCTTGTTTAGACATAAAATTGTTTTCACAAAATAATCATAATATTTACCCAAATATTCAATAAAAGTCACATTTTTGCGGCAAATAAAAGTTTCCAAAGTATTGAATGTGTAATAAGTATTGTGTTATAAAAAACGAGAGAAAAATGAAATTAAAAAAACCAAATATTTTGTGTGATTTAAGCGTTGGGATCGACGGGAGCCGAAGTCTGACCGGCTTTTGGGGCAGAAGTGATAAAACCGCGAAACAATTCCATTGGTATCTAATTATAAGTAAAAGTAAAAAATTAATTTTACAAATAAAACTCAATATACTCTGTAATGTGAATGAATGGCAATATTAGACCACAAATCTTGGTCTAAAGACAATGTACTGACCGGGAAAACAATTGTGGAATTCTTTTCGGCGGCGATTGAGTTGAGTGTCTGGAGATACCGGAGCTGAAGAGCGGCCGGCGATTCGCTGATCACTTCGGCCGCCTCTTTGAGGGCACGCGCGGCGTTTTGCTCGCCCTGAGCAGCGATCACCTGAATTGTGTCCAACAAAACATCATTAATATAAAGCATTTCACCTCAAAGACCAATACAACAGACCTTAGCCCTGGCATCTCTGGTCGCCTCGGCTTCCGCCGCCATAGATCTCTGCAATTGAACGGGAAGTCCGACGTCTTTGCTGTAATTGAATGGTAAGCAAAACGCAATTAAAAATCAATTAAACTCTTTGGTAAAGAGTGGGCGAAGTATTGGACATACATCTCAACCCTTTCCACTTTAACACCCCATGGATGGGTCGCCTCGTCGAGCGTCGTCTGCATATTGTGGGAAATGGACTCTCTGTCGGCCAATATGTCCGACAAGTTCTTTGTGCCCAAAATGTTGCGCAAAGAGGTGGCGGCCAACAGACGGGTCGATTTGGAGTAGTCCTCGACGTTGCAGATGGCGATCGTGGCGTTGGAGATGCGATAGTAGACAACGGCGTCCACTTTGACGGTCACCGAGTCTTTCGATAGGATCTCTTGCGGCGGAACATTGAATGATACAGTCCTTGGGATCAGATAATAGTCACTCTTGAGATAATGAGATAAACAATTGGTTAAGAATTGATCCATACCTGAGATCTACACACCGATAGTTGTCAATACAGGGGATAATGAAGAAAAGTCCCGGTCCTTTGGCACCGCCTTTCACTATATAACGGACATACAGTTAGGGGCCGTTAATTTCAATGCCATTTTATATAACTTGATGGTAAATACATACCTAATCGACCCAAACGGAATATAACTGCCCTCTCGTACTCCTTGACCACCTATTCATCATAAATTATAATTTGGTAAATATAATATTTTATCAAGGAATATTTATATGATTTTTATAATGAATTAATTTAGCTTATCATTGAAATAGACCCAGCTAATTGCAAGTATTGCTATTGTTGATTGTAAGTTTTATTTCACTGGTTTTGAAACTTAGCACCATTGAAATATGTATAGAATTAATGTATTGTATTGAAATATGACCATAAATAATCTAGACCCGCTTTTTATGGTGAACTTCAAAATGTATTTCCTGTCATTAAACCCCGTTATTGCCAAATGGCAATCGCTTTGTTAACTAAACCCGTTTAGGCCATGCATTGCTATGCATTTCGCAATCACCGCATTTCATCTTTGTCTGCAACCACTAAACCATTGATAACGCAATGGTTAGTAAAATTACATTAGTTATCAGACAATTATGCGATTATAGTACCGATCATAAAATTACATGTTATTCGCGATTAATTAATTGATTAATTAAAATTCATAAATACTTTGATGCAGAATATGAGCGAAATTGGGAAAGTAATGACAATGAAGAATATGGAGATCATTGTCAATAGTAGGGCACAAATGCCATTGTCGTTACCATTATCTAAATACAAATACAATTATCAATATTACTAGGTCAATTTTCAAATGGTTAATTTATTTGACATGAGTTTCCTGATTATTATTCTGATTTAAACACTAACAGTAGGCTTGTTGTCAATTATAACTAATAATTAAATTAATTTTTTATCATTAATTTAATTAACTAATGTATTGTAAAATATTATGATCTAAATCTAATTGGTTTTTAATATTAATTTAATCCAGAATATGTTACAAATATTAATGTATAAAATATTCAAAACACATATAAAAATACACTATGCACTTTATTGTTAAATGCATAGAGTAATTAATTGATGATGATCGCGATAATAAAACTTACCATCGTTGGGATTTCTTTTATACATGGGTATAATCTCATCTTTATTTTTCCCGTCGGTGGTCAACATGTTTGCGATTGTATTGACCACAATATTAGGGTTAATTCAATTCAAGTCCGCAGATATACCAGCAAAACAGCCGCACATCAAACAGAGATAGTATTGTTAATAATATTGCAAAACTACTGCCAAAATGTATGGTTTATATCATCGGAAAAATTGAATTTCGCTTAATTCACACCCATTTAAACTGCTTAAGCTGTGAATCACAGTCTGTCTGAATGTCTGTGATTTTAAGCTTATGTTTAGCCAATTGAGTGATTCAACTAAAGGTCTGGTAACTCTGGCGTCAAAACCCATGTCACATGGGTTTTGACCAATAGTTTTGCATTTTCAACGCAAACCGGTATTCAGTTTCAACCCTTCTCTGCAGATTCTGTAATATTAAATCCAATCGTATCTCACATTTTCATTGTATTCAAAGTACTATTTAACTTAAATATTAGAAATTGTTTGGTTTATTAATATGTAATTCAATATATCTATAAATAAATTCCAAATTAAATTTTTTACTTTTATCAAAATTTTTGCAATTATTAATATATTAGTTAATACATTACTTTCAAAAATTATCCTACCAAGAATGTAAGAATGTTAACTTAAATAATGTTACTATTTTAGTAATTCTAGCTGAACCAGATGGCACTTAATCAGGCCGCTTAATCACATCCAGTGCTGTAATGGTTGCATAACATTATATATATCTTATCTGTCATTATATAACACATATCGCAATATTAGTCCCATTAGATCCTAATATTATGTAACTTAAAATGCTATGCTAATTGTTAATATATAAAGTACTTATTAATTATCATAAATGTTGCATTTAATTGTAAAATAGATATCATGTAATGAATGCATACTATAGAAGGTTATTAAAGGTTGCATAAAATAAATACAATACAAAATAAACAATTTTTAAATAACAATATATTTATAAAATTATTTCATTTCATCCGAAAATATGACACAACAGATGAAACTCTTGAAAGCGTCTCATAGTAAGAGACAACAGGTATTTGCAGGCGATTTAAAATTCAATCAAAATAACAAATAATTGTTTTTCTCTCATATTTTAGCCACAACTCTATGCGAAGGACTCAATGGACAGATTCGGTGATGATTTGTGTGAACTTCTATTGTCTTACCTATCATTTGATAAAAGATTTCTCTACGAATGCGTGTCTAAACAGTTCCAGAGGTCAGTCTTCGGGAGTGTTGTGGACATTGATGTTGGAAATCATGGATTTAGCGACTTCAATACGTGTCATATTTGGCTGTTTAGAAAAATTGCCAAAAAGTGTCCAAACATTCAAACCATTGACTTTCGCGGAACGGATAGCAGATACGAGTTATTCATTACCGATGCGTTCAAACCGTTTCGAGACAATTGTCGACATTTGCGGGAAATTTACTGCAATTTATCGGAAAATGCATTTACGGGCCAAATATTCATGACTTATGGATCAATGATTACACAAATCGGAAGTTTTTCTCAAAATGCCAAACATTTTCTCCTTTATTGTCACCGATTGTCACAATTAGACGTCAATTCATTGCGTGACGTTTTCGACGCTTTTTCTGGACAATTATTTGCAAAAAATTTACAAAAATTTGAATTTTATAACTTTAATGACGACATGTTTGAAGACGTAAATAATGTACTGTTATCTGAATTCGTGGCACAAAATCAATCGCTTAAAAGTCTTGTCGTAAGAAATAATAAATGTGTATCTCTAGAGACTATCGGCGAAATGTGCGGACAATTGTCACGATTAACACAATTACAAGAATTGACACTCAGTTTAAAACTTTACTACAATGAGAATAACTTATTGTCTGAATCTTTGCGTACAATTGGCTTAAACTGCAAACAATTGCAACGATTGACACTTGAATTGAGTTGCGATCAATTCAACAGCAATACTATTCATTCATTGATATTTTATTCGCAATTAAAACATTTGAATTTAACAATCATTGGTGCCATCGATCAACAATTGTTGGAACCGTTGAGATTCTGCGACCAATTAACACATTTAACACTTAATTTATGGCTAATTAGTCACAATATATTCAATAATTGCGATAACCAGTGGCCACGACTTCAATACCTGTCCATCAAAGCAAATACAATAACTCTCAAGTGTTTGGATTGCATCTCAAGACTACCGGCGCTGCAAATAATAGTCTTTCAATGCCGTCAAGACATTAATCTCAAGGATAATGATTTTGAGATTCTGTTGATTAAAAGTCCTAAACTAAAACACATAGAACTTCGTGTAAACTATAAATTAAAGTACTTTTACCGTAAAATTTTTTAATTGAGCATGTTAAGAAAAAACAACTAATTTTTAACCTAACATAATTAAATGCATTAGTTAGGAAATTTGAGATTTAAGTTGCATTTAAAAATTAATAATAAAATGATAACTTTTCGTTGTCTTCGTATATATTTAATGGCGATATTTAGCTTTTTAAAATTTTATGACAATTAAATAAAACTATTTACAGTGGAAATGGAAATGGAAATAAATACACTGTAAACAAGATGGGAATTTGAATAGAATTATCAAGAGATTGGATTTGTAAATACTGTATAAACTATATGAGCAAAATGTGTACATTTGGCACTCATTAAAAGCTTTAATTTAAACGCAAATGGCATTAAAATTGACTGTCGTCCACACAATTCCTGCACATTATTATAAATTAGAATTATAATTTATAATCAATAAAATTACTGAATACATATTGTATTTCTATAGCAATGTTAATACACAATTAAGTCGAGCCGTTACTGAAATATTCTGTATTTTTATTTTGCTAAATATTAATAAATATTTTTATTAAAATACATGGATTTGAATACATAATTATAAGATTTATTACAAAAATACAATTTTAACAAATAACTGCATTTACAGAACAAAGTGTTGAGTGAAAGTCATTTCAAATAGGTTTTTATATAATAGCGAATGGAAACACAAATCGAGGCATTGATCACAAGCTTTGAGACAAACACACAATATATGAGAGAAAAACAATTATTTGTTATTTTGATTGAATTTTAAATCGCCTGCAAATACCTGTTGTCTCTTACTATGAG